ACCTGCACCTTATTTTCTTTATTGAGGTCAAATAAATTATTTCGTTTCGTTTCGTTTCGTATGTATGTATGTATGTATGTATGTATGTATGTATGTATGTATGTATGTATGTATGTATGTATGTATCAAATCAAATCAAATCAAATCAAATCAAATCACTTTTATTCAATCAAACAAAACAAAAGCATGAATGATTCGGAGACCAAAAAAAGAAAATTAATTCTTGTGGGCTCGGCCACCGTGCAGCTCAAAATTGCTTCTCAATGATAAAATAAAATTGTCAATAGGAGAAAATGTATCAATGTTAATGAAATATGTACACACTTATATACATATATATACATATACATTATTATCCTTGAAAAACAGAACTTTTCGTAATTAAAAAATTTTTCAGTTTATTTTTAAAAAGATGCAAAGTGATGCAAAAAAAAAAGATGTATGTATGTATGTATGTATGTATGTATGCATGCATGTATGTGTGTGTGTAGGCGTGCATGTATGTATGTATGTATGTATGTATGTATGTATGTATGTATGTATGTATGTATGTATGTATGTATGTATGTATGTATGTATGTATATATGTATGTATGTATGTATGATAATGTCATCACTTTTATGTCATGTCATGATGCTCATTATTTATGACGTACGTGTTCAAGTGTTCGTTCCTGTCTCATTCTTGTTCACACCGTTCTCTATGTTTGTATCATTTTTTTATGTTCATTATTCAACATGTTGTGGTGTGTTGTGATGTGCAGTTGTAGTGTGCAGTTGTTGTGGCTAGTTAGTCACACAGAGGAAAGGTACTCAAACAAGTGTATGCACGTGCAATTTAGGGCGTATGTGCTGTACGTGCTTGTACGTTTGCGTGCGTGCGTGTATGTATGTACGTGTATGTATGCGTGTGTGTGTATGTACGTGTATGTATGCGTGTGTGTGTATGTGTATGTATGTGCATGTATGTATGTGTATGTATTTCGTTATGATTACATGATTAAGACAGTTGATGTTTGTAATCGTTTGTATGGGTTGTTTGCGTTCTTCGCATTTATATCGCTCATGTTCTAATGTTTTTCTTCCTAACCAGCGTTATAAGTTTAACTTTTAATTTTGCATTGTTGAGCATTGGAGACGGTATTGAATATTATTTAATTACCCAGACGTTATTAAAGTGAATAAAAAGTTAGAAGACAAAAAAATGTTACAAATTTTCATATTTATTTCTCCGTTTGTACTTCAGTATTTTATTCTGTCCCGTGTTGGCCTGCTGTAGATGGCGACGCTGAAGGAGACGCCCTCAGCATCATTCCTATGTCAGTACGTTGACAACGGAAATTGTGTTGAATTAGAAATTTAATAGAGGTGTTACTAGGCGAGTTTGTCGAGGGTACATTTTGTTTAGCGCGTGTTAATACAATTGTTTTGGCGTCTCTGTA